CTGAGACATTATAACAAAAACTAAAGATAGCCAGTAAGCTTATTTTATAGTAATGCTAGTAAATTTTATATATTTTTAAATATTTCAAAGAGTGTATGCAGTTAATACTTATGGGATTGGTCTTATAGAAATGGTCATAGAAGGGAAAAATAAGAAAAGTGATGATTTCAAATTAAAATATGTGATTAATATTATTTTGTGCATTATCAAAAATATTAATTTACAAGGCCAATTGTCATTTCTAAACATTTGATGTAAAGTCTGCTGTACCACGAAATAGGTCTATGGTACTTTTCCTTTCAACTCCAATGACATGCCTAATATACTCCTGTTTCATTATACACAAAAATGTATGTGGCAACACTGTAAAGAGGAATCACTAAAAATCTGATTTTGTGTAATTTTATTGAAAAGTTTTTGCTTTCCCACACAAATGATTTCTAAATATATCTTGTGATTTAATTTTTAAGACCTAAAAATATTTAATCAGCATAAACAAACAAATTAACAGATCATAATCTATGAAATAAATACTTTTAGCCAACAAAATGTATCACAGTTGTACGTGAATTTTTTTTTGTTAATCCTCACCCGAGGATATTTTGCTTTTTTGTTTTGTTTTGTTTTGCTTTGTTTTAGATAGAGTGGAAGGGAAAGAGAAAGAAAAAGAGAGAGAAACATCAATGTGAGGGAGAAACATCGATTGGTTGCCTCCCATATAACCCCAATCGGGGTAAGGGATTGAACCTGCAACTCAGGTACATGCCCTTGATGGGGAACCAAACCTGCAACCCTTTAGTCCAGTGGTTCTCAACCTTTCTAATGCCACAACCCTTTAATACAGTTCCTCATGTTGTATGTGGGTGTGTCTGCATGTGGGCAGACCTGCCTGGAGAGGGATAGAGGAGTCGTGTCTCAGTTCCTAAGACCATCGGAAATATCTGTTTTCAGATGGTCTTAGGCGACCCCTGTGAAAGGGTCATTTGACCGCCAAAGGGGTTGCAACCCACAGGTTGAGAACTTCTGCTTTAGTCCATAGGCTGACACTCTTAACTGTTGAGCCAAACCAGCCAGGGTATGAGTGAATTATTTTTTTAATTCATAAGCGTGTTCCTGTGATAATCTTATCATGTAACTAAATTTTTCATACACGTTCATTAGTTTCTGCTTACTCTATAAACTCACAGTATACATTATGTTGTTAAACACCTGTAGGTCCAGCAGGCCTGGACCCTAAACTAAGGGTCTAGAGGCTTCCTGGGGTCTCACTCACACAGGGAATCATGCCTACTGCCTGGACTTTGTCATGGAGTCTGTATGTGGATATCAAGATAAGCAGGAGCCTTAAGGTCTAAACTCACCATGCAAGGTCATTCTGCCTATTCAGCCCCTTTGTCCAAGACTTAAATAGTAATTAATTAGCTTTCAGTTTGAGTCCTGAGTAAACCATTTTTTCCAGCTCTTCTACATAGAATCTATAACTGTTCTAAATTCACCTATGAAAGTATATTTCTGGAAGTACAGATACACAGACCACTCTTAAACCTATTGTGTCTGTGAGTGTTTCAACCAAAAAATAGCATTCTTCTTCCATGTCTGAGTTTGAACCAATGTATAAATAATAGCACTTCCATCTAACAGAAAACCAAAACATTCACTTGATTAATGATAAGCTCTAGAAAGATATGGCTTAGTATAAGATACAAATGGTACTTCCAATCTACAAAGCAGAGTACTTAGGTCATTGCCTACCACCAATGCCGTTAAAGACCGTCATCGACTCTCAGGCCAACTGGGCTTAAGAACTTTGACTATTTTGCACCACAAAGTAACTCATTGCACAGTTTTAGGGGAAGAATAATTGGATGGAAAAGAGGCCAAGAGTTTTAAGGCAAAGTTTCTCTAAATAGAAACTGAGAATAATAAGGAAGAGATATTTTCTCTCTTGGCCGGTATGGCTCAGTGGTTGAGTGCCCACCAATGCAGCAAGAGGTTGCCGGTTTGATTCCCGGTCAGGGCACAGGACCAGATTGTAGGCCCAATTTCTTGTGGGGGGCATGCAGGAGGAGGCCAGTCAATGTTCTCTCTCATTGATGTTTCTAACTCTTTCTCCCTCTCCCTTTCTCTCTCTGTAAAATCAAAAAAAAAAAAGGAAAAAAAATTGTTTCAATGGTGTGAATTAAAAAAAGAAGAGATATTTCCTTTAACTGAAGGTTTCTGCCTCGTTTAAATCTATCATCAGTGAAAGTGATGTTTTCTCCCTGGCTCCTTAAATCAGGCTTCTTAGATATTACCTCTGATCTGGGCTTTAAATAAGACAGCTATAGTTGTGGTTTGATTTGAAATTAAATGATCATTTTCCCTACTTTTCTGGCCAGATTCTACTCTAATACCCCAACAGAAGCAGAGGGGAGTGCCTTAACTCCCTGTCTTCTACCGAAGGAAAAAACCTATTGCACCAGGCTATTCAGTGAGATCTTTCGTTGTAGTAAATTCAGAGTTTTTAAATTAGTATTAACCATTCACAAAGGCTTATACACATGAAAAATAATTTGATACTAATCAAAACAAATTCAATGAGACAGCAACTTCAGCCTCCTAACTAATAATTAATGACTAGATGAATAATGTGCTGCCATTATACGTTTTATGGAAAATTAAAGGCAATTTATGTATAATTTCAGAAGAATAAATTTTAAATTATATGATGTTTTTATTCTAATTTTTTATTGTTTTATTTGTTGTCACATGATTCCATATCTATGAAATATTTTATGTACTAATAATGGACTCTACCTCTCAGGAATTCATGAATTCACTTTAAATATCTGATGTGGTTCAGTTTTGTACCAAACACTGTTTGGTTGATGGGGAAAGAGTTGGTGGTAAGACACAAGATTCTTGCTCTTAATGTAGTTTTGTAGCTAACTTTTCATTGAGAAGAAAAATAAACAAAAACAAGAAACCCACACACAGTGTGTGAGATAGCAATAAGTTATATAAGGCAACATAAAAGAGGATTATGTAAAAGAAGGTTTGGATCATCAAGGTAAACTGGTTTGAGGAGTCTTCATTTATAGTGAAATCTGAATGAGGAGTTAGGGGGTGGTGGGGCACTTGCCAGGTTTACAAGCATGCTAGTCTAAAACCCTCACTTATAAATGAATAGGAACCTAGAGAAACCCAATGTGTCGAAAAACTAAGTAAGTGAGCAAGACCGGAGCAGGATGAGTTGTATGTTGAAAAGTTGTCAGGGACCATATCATATAAGAAAACAAGGTTAGATGTTATTTGAAGTACTGCCAGAAAACATCATACTGGGTTTATATACTGTGCTTGAATATTTTTTAAAAATCACTCTTTGTGATGTGGACTGTAGTAGAGGGAGGGTGAGAGCAAGAAAAACCATGATTATTATTCTTATTTGGGAAAAAGATAATTATGACAGACTTGGATATTATAATTGAGATGGAGATAAATAAACAGATTTCGGATATTTTCAAATGTAAAGTTGCCAAGACTTGCTGACACATTCAATGAGGGTAAGGAGGAATAAAAAACTCCTAGGTTTTGTTATTTCTCATAGTTAATGAGGAGGAGGTAGAGCTACTTAGAGTTTTGCCCGTGTTAAATTTGAGATGCCTCTGATATCCAACACGTGGTGCCCTGGGGTTCCAGTCCGGACGAGAGATTTGGACTTGGGAGTTTTTGTCATGTAGAGGTCATGGTATAGTTGATATTTTCTATACGTCTGTTGATGGTTTACATTAAATGAACTGGCAATGGTAGGTAGAAAAATGTGTGTTTGAATGGAAGAATGAATAAAAAAAAAATGAAAGCAATAACTAGTGGGCAGGAGAAGAGAGGAAAGACTTTCAGAATCTAGGCAAACCACTAAAGAAATAAGGAATATGAAAGAATTGAAGAGGTGGAGTAAAGAAAGCGTAGCATGTTTGAGGTACTGTATGTGAGGCAGGGCTCTGATTATTAAGACTGCCTTTTGGTCAGAGCATCATTCTTATTTTATGGCTCCTGCAAGGAGAAGCCTATCACAGTGAGATTTAGTCCAGATGGAGCAAGAATTAAAGAAATTTGCCTGAAAAAAATATTACCAAGAAATAGATAAAAAGCTATTTAAATATAGAAAATGAAAACTAATTTGAATCTCTGTGCGTTTTAGACAGAGTTGAAATATAGACCTGAAAATATATTAGGAAGGAAAATTAAGGTAATTTAGAAATTAACTTCTAAAACTTATTTTTAAAAAAAGGTGTAGAATGCCTGATTATTTAATCTGTCTATACAGAAACTCACAAACTAAAAGGTTGCATAAATACTATTTTATTGAATATATTCAACTGGCTATGCTTAACAACATATTTGTAAAACAAGTGGAGAGTTTAATGCAGCTCACTGAATCAAATTAAAAATCTCATTTAAATTCCATTTACATTTTGGCAATGAAAGCTGTAAAGTCATATATATACATGCACACCTAAAATGCTGCCTATTGTCAAATCATGTGGAACATAATCGGAAATTGAACAGAGTCGATCATAAATTCTGTTTCTGACCATCATTATGATATTCATTGTGGCACTTGGACTTTCAGTATTTTGTTAATGATTTGTCCTGAATCCAGATTGCAAATGAATATCTGTCTTTACAGATACGATGCCATTGTCCTTTGGGTGCACTAAGTCACTGCTAATTTTTCATTCATTTAAGAGAGATTTTTTTGGGGTACCAATAGGTATTAGTAGCTATTCTAAGTACTAAGATACCAGAATGAATACTTACTCCCTCCGCCTTTTTTACATTTTTAAAGGAAAGGTAAATACATAGCACTTACTTGCAGAAAAGGTCATAAATACTGTAGAAGATGAAACTGATTGCCTGTGCCTGGAAAGAATAGGCAGAGGCTTCCAGAGATGACCTTGGATAAATGTTTTAGAAAGGAATTGGGGAAAATTAAAGGCATTTAATAGTTATTGTTGTTGGTGCTGGCTTTGGCAGCACATGTACTAAAATTGGAATAATACAGAGAAAATTAACATAGCCTCTGTGCACGGGTAACCACAAATTCATGAAGCGTTCCATATTTTTGTTTGATCCCCAGCCCCAGTTGGGTTGTGCAGAAGGTGACCGACTGGTTGATGTGTCTCTCACCCATCGATTTTTTTCTCTCTCTCTCCCTCCCTCCCACTCTATCTGAAACTCAATGGAGAAATGTCCTTGGGTGAAGATAAAAGAAAAAATAAAGTTATTGTGGTTGCTTAGAGCAGAGGATGCATGTAAAGGCAGAATAAGGGAGATAATCCCAGGAAGGTAGGGCAGGGTCAAGTTTAGATGTTTCTGTGGACTTTCTTGTGAGCTTGTCACTTTATTTTCTAATTCCATACATTTCAGGCTAGACACAGTAACATTCTCTAGGGGTATTTATATAAGACTTAGTGAGAGTCATAAGAGTAATTGAAGCATCATCCGATACTATCAAGTTGCCATACAAATATGTATCATGGGGTAGAATGAAATATATCTAAACAAGGATAAAATGTGGTGTAATATTCAAGATGTACATGAATTTTAAAATTAAAGTGTCAAATTTGTAAATAAATAAATAAAGAAATGCCATACTTACAGGTATCTCATCAAACCTTGTGATATCTGAGATCATAAATTCCCTGTCTTCATCAGTTGCTATTGCTTTAATAGATAAGCTTTGTCAGGGAGAAATTTAAGGCTGGAATTGTAGGGTATTTCATCAGATGTGTCTTTAGAAATGTAAGCTGGTAGAAGTGTAGCATTTCATTTGATTCGAGGAAATTGGTTTCAGACAAGTGGGAGTCACATTAGGAATTATAACTGGGGAGGTCATGGTGATTTGTTTCATTTGCTGCGGAGATGAGACCCATGTTTCTTGGACTTCACCAGAAAGAGAGAAGAATATCATATTAAGAATATAAATTAATGTTTTATTATTCCCTTCCACTCTTTGGGAACTATAGGACTATGGGAATCTTCACAGACTATGTTATAAGTGACAGACTAATAAGACCAAGACAGTTAGTTGCAAAGTTACCCTCAGTTTAACTAAAGTTTAAACAGGATGTTCCCACCTTTCTTCTCACCCCATTTCCTTTACAGAATCCAAAAGGTGTAACTTGAGTGCCTCGCCTCCCTTTTCACAGAGCACTTACTCCAAAAAAACTTGAATTGTAAATTCTTTCTCTGCCCCTTTGAGGGCTACATCTTTTTAAAAGCCTCTTGCCAATTCTATACCCAGGGCCATCTTAAGCAAGGATGTAGGAGCCAGCCCCCTGAAATGCAATCACCAAGGTACCGCCTGTGTCTCCCTGTCTCCATTGGTGGCCAGGTAGCTAACTTTGGCAGACATCTTAATCCAAGTTATAAAATGGTCCCCTGTCTTGAAGATTGGTAAAGTTTACTTTTCTTTTGGGTAAGACTCATTGGCAAACACATACAACCTATTATTATAGACCCTACTTCTTAAAACATCTTTTGTCTTTTTTAACAGGGAGTCAAGTTCAGGCTGTTTTCACTTCTCTCTTTTATTACAATTGCTTTAATAAAGTATTTCTTTCTTGTTTAACTTTGGTGAAAACTTTGTGATGACAATAGATTCCTCCATTTTCATAAAATTGTATTGCCTTGTCCTGAATACATGTGTAAACTCAATTGTTTGCTGAAACATCGAGTTTTTATTTTATAATAACAACTACAAACCAACTTTTCCAGTATGTTTTAGTCAGTATAATTTAAAATTTATTTCCAGTCAATATTTATAAAAAATTAGATTGGAGGGAAAAAATACTTTGTAAGGAAAATCTAAATGTACATGTGCTTCAGATATCCCATAATCCATTTCTAAATGTAGTTAAGAAGAAAAATGTACTGTATTCTAAAGAATTTTTAAAAATTATTTTCAACTTTGGTGTGCATGTAAACAGCTTATATTGATGGTAACTTAAAGAAACTGCTATATAAAACTCATATTATATCATCTGCAGAGATGTATGGAAAAGTTATCCACATTCTCTCTAAGAGGACACCCTAGTGTCATTCCTTACTGGCCTTTGTACAAAGAGTAATTATTCTCTCTCTTGAGTCAATAATGTGTTGTTATATAATGAGCTCTGCAAATGGTGTAACTGGCCATCTTTCTTTCTGCTCTGCCTGCTAGAAATATTAGGATCAAGTTAGTGGACAAACTAAGCCTTAATATATGGCATTTTTAGCCATATTCTTCAATTCCTTTGATAAACCCACTACATTTTCCCCCCTCTGGCTTAAACTAAGTTCCTGTGTTCTATTTCACTTGTTCTCAAATCTTCTCCAGGACAGGCATGGCTGGTATACACAGATAAGTGAGTGCATAGTTGAATTGATTAACAGTTCATTTGGTGTGATTATAGAAATCCAGGAGTAGTTCACTTTGGAAATTCTGCCTCAGCTTTTGGGGCTAATCTTTGATAAGGCTCCTTCACTGAGATTTTAGGGACCCCAAATTTTTGACAGAGGACATTACAACAGGCAGCATTTTTATAGGGAGAATTAGAACAGGAGATTCCGGGAATGCTTCATGTCATTTGGTAATCAAATAAATTATTCCATGGGCACCAATAACCAGAAAATGAATGCAATATAAAGAACAAGATCCGCAGCAGGTTGCTTGGAATTTTATACAAGCTCTACCACTGTCTCCAAGGTAAGAGACTGAGCAAGTTATAGAACTTCTATTCGTCTAAATTCCACCCCTGTAAAATGGAGATAAGAACAGTACTCATCTGAGAAGGTTGTTATGGGGGTTACAGAAGTGATCTGAAGATAATAAACACTGTGAAATTTTGATCCTGCCAGTTTGATCAGGAAATCATAAATAACACTCTAAAATAGGTAATTTTAGAGAAACTTATTTCAAGTTTTTGTCTGAAAACAGTTGCATCTAAAATAATAGCAAGAGAAATATGCACAGACATGCAATAAAACATTTTCTCAAAGTTAAAGGAAACAATCTATTGCTGTTTTTGTAAATAAATGGAAATTATGCTCTGTTTTGCCATATCAGCTATTGTATTCCTGAATTAAATAGAAATGCCACCTTTGTTTTTTTGTTTGTTTGTTTGTTTTGTTGTTTTCTTTGTATACTTTACAGAGACTGGTAAGGATATTTCACAATTTGTCAGCTTTTAACTTTTCATAAAGGAGTTTATTTTTCTTTATACTTATTCATTTTTTTCTCCTGTTAAATTCATACTTCTGCTGCTGTATGATTATTTTTGTAGAAAGCCACTATTATTCAAATAGTTTATTAAAGTAGAGGTACTGATTATAAATTAACCTCGAAGTACAGCAAAATGTTTTATTACAATTAATTATAAAATCTAATTTGCATGTTGAATAATTCACAGAATGTTATATAAATCATGGGTGAGTATATCACAGGAAGCTTTATAGATAGTATAACAAAAAACTTAGGTTTAAAGGTAACTAACTTATTTGTTTTTTGATTATAAAATAGAGAATTATAAATCCTACTTTACTTAATGATAATCGTAGAACTGCTCAATTTTATGAGCATCACACTAACTTTGTATATGTTCATCCATTTACATCCAAGTGTTTCACGAGAGATGAGATATTTTTACAAAATGTTATTGAAAGTGTAACACTATTGAAAATGAAGCATTAAACATAGTAAATAGAATCAAAAGCACTTTCAATAAAAAGCAACAGATTCTCAGATTACTTCTTACCATCAAGTCCACTAAATAGAGACACACATTGTTAAATAGTTCCTTTTATTTCTTCTGTTAATGCCTTTATTTGCTCCTACAAAACTTTTATTTGTTCTTTTCAGTTTTGTGATTGAATTACAGATGCTATTGTTTCTTCTCCACCGTGAAAGATGAATCTTCTTTCATTATTTCCCCAACATACCTTTTATTTCCATCTTTGTATTGGTAAATATTATGTGTAGTTCTTAAGCTGACTGTTAAATAGTACATTTAAGCTTATGTATCTTAATCAAATTCAAACAACCTCTCTTGACTTTCATTAAAATTAAGTATATTAGTGCTTTATTTTTTTTTTATTATTATTATTTTTTTTTAATCCTCACCCGAGGACATTTTTCCATTTTTTGTTCAGATAGAGTGGGAGGGAGAGAGAGGAAGAGAGAGAGAGAGAGAGAAACATCGATGTGAAGGGACACATGGAGTGGCTGCCACCCGCACGACCAACCAGGGCCGGGGACAAACTGCAACCGAGGTACATGCCCTTAGCGGGAACCGAACCCGGGTCTCTCTGTACCGCAGGCCGACGCTCTAACCGCTGAGCCAAACCGGCCAGGGCAGTGCTTTATTTTTTTCTCAGTTAATTCTTTCCACCTACCAAATCCCATCCCTTATATTCCGTGTTTGCATTGTCATTATTTCATACATTAAGGTAACTATAATTAAACAGTCTGTGCTGTGTTTTAAAAGTTGATTTTTTTAAAAATTGAAAACAAGTGGTCAACATTTACATTATAATGAATATAAAACATTCTTTAGGAAGAATTGATGCTAAAATTACTTTTTTTTTTTTTTCCTGAAGTTTCTTATGTTGCAACCCAAGTTCATTTGAATGACACCTCTAGCTTTGAGATCAAATAGTTTATTTTATTTTACACTGAATCAATTATTCAAATCAGGTCAACATTTAGTTTATTTAGACCATCGCCTTCTTTGAACATTTTAAAATTTCTGCTCCAGCCTGGCCAATGTGGCTCAGTGGTTGAGTGTCAACCCAGGCACCAAGAGGTCACTGGTTCTAGTCCCAGTAGGGCACATGCCCAGGTTGTGGGCCCGGCCCCAATGAGGGGCATGCAGGAGGCAGCCAATTGATGTTCTCGCTCATCAATATTTTATCTCTCTCCCTCTCCCTTCTGTTCTCTCTAAAATCAATAAAGAAAAAAATAAAATTTCTGCTCCAATTTCTTATTGACTCATTGATAGTTAAACAAGACATTATTTTCTTCCTATTTAACTTTAACAAATATAGTATAGCTTCATGCCCATAAAATATGTAGAATGAATCCACAA